CACGGTCATTTTATTTTCTATAAGGACACGCTCATTACTTTAAAAAAAAACTGAGCGAGCACTGCACTTTTATTTATTTATTTATTCATATTTTTAAATTAATATTTATTGTTGAAAGTATTACAGATGTCCCTCCTTTATTCCCCCAGTGACACTCTCTTCCCTGCTACTGCACCCCCCTGCCCTCAATGCACCTGTGTCTATGTCTATTGATTATGCATATATGCATATAAATTCTTTGGTTCATCTCTTCTCCCCACTTTTCCCCTCTGCCCTCTAAGGGTCGTCTGTCTGTTCCCTACTTCCATGTCTCTGGATCTATTTTGTTTGTCAGCCTATTTTGTTTATTATAGTCCACAAATAAGTGAGATCATATGATACATGTCTTTCTCTGACTGGCTTATTTCACTTAGCATAATACTTTCCAGGTCCCTCCATGTCATCTCGAAGGGTAAGAGATCTTTCTTACAGCTGAATAATATTCCATTGTATCTATGTACCACAGAGTTTTTTACCCACTCATCTACTGATGGACTTGGGCTGTTTCCAGATCCTGTCAGTTGTTACTTCATCTCTTTCATTTTTGATTTTATTTATTTGGGTCCTCGCTCATTGTTTTTTGGTGAGTCTGGCTAAAGGTTCATCAGTCTTGTTTATTTTTTAAAGTACCAGCTCTTAGTTTCATTGATCTTTTGTGTGTTTTGTTTTTTTTCTTTAGTCCCCATGTCATTTATTTCCACTCTGACCTTTATTATTTCATTCCTTCTACTTACTCTGTTTTTTTTTTTCTTTTTGTGTTCTCTTTCTAATTATTTAACTTGTAGGGTTCGATAGTCTATTAGAAATTTTCTTGCTTCTTTAGATAGGCCTATAATGCTATAAACTTCCCTCTCAGGACTTCTTTCGCTGTGTCCCATAGATTTTGTATTGTTGTGTGTTTATTTTCATTAGTTTCCAGGGATTTTTAAAAAATTTCTTCCTTGATCTCATTGGTAACCTATTCATTGTTTAATAGCATGCTGTTAAGCCTCCATGTGTTCAAATGTCTTTGCGTGTTTTTGTTGTAATTGATTTCTAGTTTCATGCCACTGTGATCTGAGAAGATGTTTGATATAATTTAAATCTTCTTGAACTTGTAGAGACCTCGTACATGTCCTAACACATGGTCTGTCTTTGAGAATGTCCTGTGTGCACTAGAGAAGAATGCAAAATCTGAAGCTTTGGGTGAAATGTTCTGTTCATATCATTTAAACCCATCTGATCTAGTGTTGTTTAGGGTATCTGTTTCGTCGTTATTCTTTTGTCTAGAAAATCTATCCAGTGATGTCAGTGGGGTGTTAAAGTCCCCTACTATGACTGTATTGCTATCAATCTCTCTCTTAAAGATCTCCAGAATTTTTGTAATATATTTGGTTGCTCCAATATTGGGTGCATATATGTTTACCAAGGTTATATCCTCCTGTTGGATCAATCCCTTTATATAGTGACCACTATTATATAGTGACCATCTTTGTCTCTTGTTATGGCCTTCATTTTTAAGTCTATCAGATACGAATATTGTTATCCCAGCATTTTTTTTTCATTTCCATTTGCATGGAACATTTTTTCCCATCCCTTCACTTTCATCCTGTGTAAGTCTTTTGTTCTGAGGTGGGTCCCTTGTACACAGTATATATATGGGTCATGTTTTCTTATCCATTCAGCTACCCTAGGTTTTTTTTTTATCCTCACTCGAGGACATTTTTCTATTTTTTGTTCAGATAGAGTGGAAAGGAAAGAAGGAAGAGAGAGAGAGAGAGAGAAACATCAACGTGAAAGGGGAAAATCGAGTGAGTGGCTGCCACCTGCACGACCATCCAGGGCTGGGGACTAACTGCAACCAAGGTATGCACCCTTAGCGGGAACCAAACCCAGGTCTTTCTCTAGACTGCAGGCCGATGCTCTAACCACTGAGAAACCAGCCAGGGATGCCCTAGGTTTGTTTTTTTTTTAATAGGAGCATTTAAGCCATTTACATTTAAGGTTATTATTGATTGGTACTTATTTGTCATCATTTTAATTTTTTATGCTTGCGTTCCTCTCTATTTCTTTTTCTTACAACAGTCCCTTTAGCATTTCTTGCAGTGCTGGTTTGGTGGTAGTAAACTCCTTTAGCTTTTTTTTTTTTTTTTCTGTCTGTAAAGTTCTTTGTTTCACCTTCAATTTTGAATGTTAGCCTTCCTGGCTAGAGTAGTCTTGGCTTCAGTCCATTGCTTTTCATTACTTTGTATACTTCATGCCACTCCCTCCTGGCCTGCAGTGTTTTTATTGAGAATTCAGCTGACAATGTAAGAGGAGCATCCTTGTAGGTAATTTTCTGTCTCTCTCTTACTGCCTTTAAAATGCTTTCCTTGCCCTGGCGGGTTTGGATCAGCGGTTAGAGCGTCGGCCTGCGGTCCTGAGAGACCCGGGTTCGGTTTCCGCTAAGGGCGCGTACCTCGGTTGCAGTTTGTCCCCGGCCCTGGTCGGTTGTGCGGGTGGCGGCCACTCGATGTGTCCCTTTCACGTCGATGTTTCTCTCTCTGTGTCTGTTCCTCTCTCTTCCTCCCACTCTACCTGAACAAAAAATAAATAAATAAATAAATAAAATAAAATAAAATAAAATGCTTTCCTTGTCTTTAATATTTCCCATTTTAATTATGATGTGTCTAGGTGTGAGACTTTTTGGGTTCGTCTTGATTAGCATTGTTTTCTAAACTTCAGTGAATTTTTCCTTCACCAGGTTAGGAAGGTTTTCTGCCATCATTTCTTCAAACAGGTTCTCTATACTTTGCTTTTCTTCCTCTCCTTCTTGTACCCCTATGATGTGGATGTTGTTATCTTTGATACTGCCCCAAAGCTCCCTTAAACTATCTTCCAACATTTTAATTTTTTTTTTTCTGCTCTGATTGGGTGTTTTTTTCTTTTCTTTCTTTCTACCTTGTCTTCTAATTTGCTGACTCACTCCTCAGTTTCTCCTAATCCACTGTTGAATCATTCCTGGGCATTCTTTATTTGAGTTATGTCATTCTTCATTTTCAATGGGTTCTTATTTATTGTTTCTGTACCTGTTTTCAAGCTGATGAAGTTTCTACTAAGTTCACTGTAGTTGTCACTAAGTTGTTTGAGCATCCTTATAACTATTACTTTGAACTCTGTATCTGATAAATTGCTTCCCTCCATTTCATTTCACTCTTTTTTCTGGAGATTCCTCATTCTTTCTCTTAGGGCCTACTCTTTGTTTCCCTATCTTTGCTATTTCTTTGTGGAGTTGTTGTGTTTTTTTTGTGTTTTTTTTTTTTTTTCTGTGTATCAGATAAGAATGCTATGGCTCCTGGTCTTGGTGAGGTGGCCTTCTTGTGGGACCCAGTGGAGTAATATCCTTGATCTACTGAGCAGGGTGCTCTAGTAAAGACCCTTCTGTGGGTTATGTGTGCTCTCCTGTTGAGTTTGGGTCTTGATTGCTAGCCATAGTGGGTAGGTTCTCTAGGGGGCCACACTGAGACACACAGACAGCACAGGAAATTTACACATGAACTTGACTTTGGCTAAGGAGGTAGAGAAGGAGCCTGATTATGTCCCCAGCTCCAACAGGCCCTTCTGGGCCCCTCCCCCGTGCCTGCTCTCTCCTACCCATTTCTTCTCGGGGCCTCAGAGCACCTGCTCTCAGGGGTCCCTGTGCTGCTCCCCACCCCACCCATGGGCAAGGTGATGTGACCACCAGAAAGTCCTCCAGGCAGAGGACAGAGGCTGCTCCTACCACAGGGAAGCACGTGGACAGGATCTGCCACAGCTCAGCCAACAGGCACGAAGAGGAAGGGTCTCCTCTAAACCTTGACTCTGAGGCCCTGGAACCCACAACCACCTGACCAACAAACACAGTCCTCACTTCCAAGGACACACAGGACACCTACCCCTTCATAGCCAGGAACTGCAGGTCCTTCTGAGACATCTGGTCCTGGGTCTCTGTCCTGAAAGCAGAGGCCAGGCTGGGGACAACCTGAGAGAGAAAGGGGGTCCCCTCACCTGTCATCATTCAACCTGTCCCTTTCTCACCCCACAATCATCTGTGTGACCTTTCTGCTGGGAGGAAATCCAACCTTCCCCGAGCATTTGAGAACACTGGGATTACCCCGTGCCCGACTGGATTCCAGTATCAAAAATGGAAGTAATCCCCAGGTTTGGCGACCCCAGGGGCTCTCTGTGTTAATGAAGGACCCAAGGTCACTCCACAGCAGAGGCCAAAGCTGTGTGCAGACTGTCAGGTCCACTGCACACTGTGAAGTCAGAGTCTGCAAGTGAACAGGTTCTGCAGAACTTCCGTGTGCACAGGAGAGGGAGGGGGTGCCCCACCCCCACATCACGGGTCTCACCTGTCATCCCCGTGAGCTGGGAGCTGCTGAAGCAGCATTTCTGTGGTGTCACCTGGGCATCGCAAGCTTTACAAGTTCCACATGATTCTGATGCCCAACGGGGATGACATCCCTGTGACAAGAGTTCCTGATGTGGCCCCTGGGCTCCTGCTCTGAAGGGAAAAGTCCCAAGTGATGAGAGAGGCTGTGGGGGACTCCTGGGACCCCAATTTCCCAAGCTTGTGCTTGTCCTAACAGGACCTGTGTGTGAGTGTGTGAATGTGAGTGCGTGTGTGAGAGTGTGAGAGTGTGTGTGTGAGTGTGTGTGAGTGTGAGTGTGTGTGAGTGTGAGTGTGTGTATTTTAGTGTGTGTGTGAGTGTGAGTTTATGTGTGTGTGAGTGTGTGTGAGTGTGTGTGTGAGTGTGTGTGTGTGTGTGTGTGGTGGAGAATCACAGCTGAAGAAGCCTCAGCCTCAGCGCTTCCCAGGACCCAGAACTGTAAACAGAAGGAAAAGGGAAGGAGGGGACTGGGGGCTCAAGAATGAGATGGAGGGAGAAGGAGGGTCCTGAGCACAGAGCCCGCCCCCTCCCACGTGACCGGCTAGCGCTCCGCCCTGGGAGGAGGTTCCAGGCACAGGGTGATAAGACAGCTGGCAGATTCCGCACAGGAGGACAGAGGTGCCTGTGAGCCCAAGCTCTTCTGACAGAGGGAGGGGCCCAGCAGGCAGCAGACACCGGACACCATGGAGTCCCCCTCAGTCCCTACCCGCAGAGGACGTGTCCCCTGGCAGGGGCTTCTGCTGGCCGGTAAGAAGGGGATGATCCCTGGGGACAGACAGGAGGAGGGAAGACAGAGCCTGGCTGGGGTGTCCTGGGGAGGACAGCGCTCTGAGAAGGGACAGAGGGCTTCTGTTTGGACTGAGGAGAAAGGACAGGGAGCAGAGTAGGATGGGGGAGGGACAGGAACATCTCCTGATCTGCAAGTGCTGAGGTGCAGGAAAACCAGGATTGCTGTGTGTTTTTAAACTTGATCATTTCTGAACGATAAGTTTTAGAATCTGATGACAATAATCACAATTTATGTGAGGTGTCGGTAGACTTTACCAAGGGTGCTAAACATTGTTCCCCCCACCAGCCTCAGAAATGGGACATACACCCAGGAGGTGCAGGACTGGGAACATCATTCATTCAGCCACAGGGGTTTGCCGCTGTTGCAGGCCTTGGGGGACAGGATCTGACAAGGGCCTCACCACACATTCTGTGGGGAGGGGACAGACAAGGAGGGATCTAGATGGGGTGGCAGGTACACACAGTGCCATGAAGGGGACAGAGCAGGGACAGGGGAGAAAGTGGACACAGAGGGTCTGTAGAGGAGGTGGTCAGGGAAGGTGTCTCCCAAGGGCTCCCCTGAGTGTCAGCAGGGGTCTGAGGCTGTGAGGGGTGAGCTGGGATGACATCCGGCAATGAGTATTTGAAACAGAAAATATAACAGGTTCAGAGGTGCTGAAGTCATGGCGACCATGCTGCTGACCTTGACCATGGGAGACACACACACACACACACACACTCACACACACACACACACTCTCACACTCACACTCACACACATACACTCTCACACTCACACACACACTCACACTCACACACACACACTCACACACACTCACACACACACTCTCACACACACACTCACACACACCAAGGTTGAGAGAGAGAGACCTGCTCAGGACCCAGGGCTTCACCTCTCCAGACCAATACATAGAACCAAACACTGATCAATTTCTCTCCTCCTTCCCAGTCTCACTCTTAACCTCCTGGAGCCCGCCCACCACTGCCCAACTCACTGTGGAATCCGTGCCCCCCAGTGCTGCCGAAGGGGAGGATGTGCTTCTCCGTGTGCACGATCTGCCTGGGTTTCTTGCAGGCTATGTGTGGTTCAAAGGGGAAAGTGTGGACAGCAGCCGTCAAATTGCATCCTATGTAATAGACACGCAACAAATGTACCCAGGACCTGAATACAGTGGTCGAGAGACAATACACCCAAATGGATCTCTGCTGTTGCAGAAGGTCACCCCGAAGGACACAGGATACTACACTCTGCTAGGAATCAAAAGAAATTTTCAAGGTGATAAAGGAACTGGACAGCTCCGAGTATACCGTGAGTGATTGCTCTCTGACCTCTGGTGTGGGGTGGGGTGGACTCCACTTCACACGCAGGACTGACAGCCCTGGACTCCACCTCCGTCCCCTCTGCACCACGTCCCAGGTTGGGTTTGGGCATTTAGTGCAGGACACGCACAGTGGAGACAAACTTCCTAAGATCAGAGTTCCCTTCCCGAATTCCAGCCCTGCAGACATTCACAGTGGAGAAAAGGACCAGTCTGATGGGAATAACTCAGCAAAGGGAGACCAGTCTCAGTCTAGCCCCCTGGGTCCCCCCCACCCCATCACCATGACCCTGAGCAAGACCCAGTAGGACTGGAGCGCCCAGGCCTCCCCTCAGGCGGCCGAGCCACAGCTCCCGGCCCGGGACCTGAAATCACTGGTTTGTTTCCTGAGGTGTTGGCGTCACTCCCACTGGGTATGAAGGGAAGGGCTTGGCCTGCTCACTGCCCACTCTACACCTGCAGCCGCTCAGGGACCAGCATGGAACATACACCCAGTTGCTTTTGATGAATTAGGAAGAAATCAATGGTGATCGAATGAATGAATGAATGAATGAATGATCCAAAATCTCTTCAGATGCTGGAACCTGGATGCCGTGTCCTTGGCATTCTGGCCACACAGGACAGGCTCCCTGTCTTTGCAGGGGCTGACACCCATGTCTCACACCTATGTCTGCTCTCTAGGGAAATCGTCCTTCCTGCTATTGGTCTTAGGTCCTGGGTTATTAATAATAATTTCCACATTTGGAAGAATTTTAAGTTCTCTCCGAATTTCTGTCTCAGAAGCACCAAACACGAGTGCTCCACAAGGTCCCGATTTCGGCAGGTCCATGCTCCCTCTTGCCGCCCCTCACCCCTTCCTCCGCACCAGTCCTCCCCCGCCCTCAGCAGAGAGAATGGCTTTAATGACCACGGGCAGAGCACACGGTTCTGCTGCCAGCCCCTGCCTGTCCCCTTCACTCCTTCCTAGCTCATTCCTTGGCCTCTGCTCTGTCACTTATTGTCTCACCGGCTCATGTCGGTCACACTCACCTGGGAAGAACTGACCCACCTCTTGGCCCAGGGGCCTGAGTAGTCAAGTGACCATCAGCTTGCTCCTGGTCCCCGTGTGTTATTTCTGCTCCAACCCCAGTCTCTAGGATGTCCTGGGCAATGGTGCCTCATAGAAACACTCCTTAGCTGGGCGATGGAGGTCTGTGCAGCTGGAAGGAATGGCCCCTGTTCGGCCAGGCAGTCAGCTGGTCAGTGAAGAACCAGGAGAACTGCAGGGTGGTCTCTGACTCCCAGGCCTATGTCTTTCCAGGATCAAACCCTGATACTTAACTGACACCTGAGAAAGTCTGTGCTTTCTCCCAGACATGGAGCTGCAGGAATTCCATTCTCTGAGCGCTCAGATCCCCATGTATCTGTCTTGTGATACACAGACCTGCCTCATTCTTTTAAGGACACAAGTTGGTTCCATTTATTCCTAAGTATTCTCTTCTTTCTGAACCTACTGTACATGGACCTGTTCTCTTCAGTTCATTTTGGTTTGTTCATTGTTGCAAAGAAATGGAAATGATGCTGAGTATGGAATTTGTCTACTGCAACTTCACCAAATTCTTTAGTTCTAAGGTTTTTTTCTTTCTGTATGTGTAATCTGTAGGGTTTTCTACATATAAAATTATGTCATCTATTTAAAAAGATAATTTTTCTTCTCCCTTTCCAATGTGTAAGCCTGTATTTCATCTTCTTGTCTAATTGTTCCGGACAGACTTCCAGTACTATGGTGAATAGAAATGGTAAAGGCAGCAACCCTGTCTTGTTCATGGTCTTAGTGATGTTGCCCGAGGTTCTCCCTGGAGTGTCGTGTTAGCTGTGGGCTTGCATGTGTGGCCTTTACTTTTATTCACTGAGTACTTTGCTTCTATTCCTACAGTCCCTGCCTTTTGTTAAAATCACTTCTCTCCAGAGATCTCCTTCAGGTGATATTCAATCCACAGACCAGGAAGTAGAGTCCTGTGCAGACTGAGGAAACCTTTAGATGCAACCTCTCCAGGTCCAAGGTCATGAAGACTGGGTTGGGCTGTTTTATTGCCTAATGAGTTATTTAACAAGAAGCATACGCCATCTTGCTTTCTGTCAAGTTTCTTTGGCCCCAGATATGGACAGAGGTGGTAAGCCTGGCTTCCCAAAATGCAAGAAGTTTACATGAGGAGCGAGAGCTGATTTTTTTTTTTAATCAAACAAATTCTAGAAAAGGGTCAAAAAGTTTGTAGACAAAATTCTACTTGAGGATGAGGTTCCTGGTGCTGATACTAGATGTCCAGGGACACAGTCAGGGATCATCCTCGGGGGATCTGGGACCACAGAGAAGGTGCAGCCCCCTCCTTACACAGTCACCTGAACAAAGATACTTGCCCTGCAGAGGTCAGGACCATCCTCTGGTGACCTTTACAGAGCTCACTGTGGACTGTGGTGGCTGAGATCTCTGAGGAGGAGCCCACTCTCAGTCACCTCCTCTGCTTCTCCACAGAGCCCGTGGGGAAGCCCTCCATCCAAGCCAGGAACAGCAGTCACAGAGCATAAGGACGCCGTGGGTCTGACCTGCCTCACGGATGACACTGGGATCTCTATCCGGTGGCTCTTTAACAAGCAGAGTCTGTGGCTCAGGGACTGGATGAAGCTGTCCTGGGGCAACAGCACCCTCACCATAGACCCCGTCAGGAGGGAGGATGGTGGCAGTTATCAGTGTGAGGTCTCCAACTCTGTCAGTTCCAGCCAAAGTGACCCCCTCAGGCTGGACGTGCAATATAAGTGACCCTCCTTCCCTCCTCTATGTTGTTAAACTCTAAATAAATTTTTTCTTATCTGAAAATGATGTACTTTCTGAATAGTTTTCTTGTCACTAGTCAATGATGCAGGTGGTAAGTTTTAGGAAGACTTGCATTGAGTCAAAAAATGATAAAAAATGTGAGCTGACATTGTCGTTATTGTTGACTCAAGGTTGCTTTCCACACCAGAGCCCACCTCTGGGTGGTCTCAGTGGCACCATCCCACAGTAGAGGCAACTCCGAGACTCCCAGAGCACATGCGGTGGTCATGGATGACTGGCGGGAGCACGTGGTGAGCTCCATGGATGACTGGCGGGAGCACGTGGTGAGCTCCATGGATGCCTGGCGGGAGCACGTGGTGAGCTCCATGGATGCCTGGCGGGAGCACGTGGTGAGCTCCGTGGATGACTGGCCGGAGCACGTGGTGAGCTCCTAGCAGTTGCCCTCCTCCAGGGGGCCTGTGCATGGCTCCTGGACTCTGACGTGGACAGCAGGAATAGACAGGAGGACCCGCATGCAGGTGGCAGCACCGAGATGACTTGCACTTGACACAACGCCATCTGCCTCCATCTTCCTTCTCAGAGGTGGGAGGAGAAGGGATCAGAGAGCCCAAGTCTCAAGCTGAGACCCTGGGACAAGATGCAACCCGGAGGGAAGGAACAGTCTCAAGGCAGATTCCACCCCCATCTGCACACCCCACCCCACCTCAACCCACCTGGGTGGCACCTCCTGAAGGGCAGTGTGTGAATCCGGGACTCAACTTTTCTGTAGGGACAGGGAGTCCCTGGGCTGAGGCTTAACGATAGAGGGGCTCACTCAGGACAAGATCTCTCTCCACACGAGGCTCCACCATTGCCACAGAAAAATGTACTCAGCACACTGCTCATGGGGGAGCAGCCCGGGCTGACTCATGCTATTGGTGAACCTCAAAGTCCTGGGGACATCCCAACCCTCCATGCCCATTCCAGAACCTGTAGGTTTTGTCTTCTGGGGCCAGCGCCCCCCAATACCCAGCCTCCAGGGAATGCCTTTCACCCCACTGAGCTGCAGGGCACCCAGACATCCCTGCAGAAGGGTCCACATGGGGCCTGACCTCATTCTTTCCTCAACCTCCCAGGGCCCAGGAGGCTCTCCTCCCGCGATCTCCCTCTCTCCTCGGGCTCGGGGAACTGTGCGGCCCTGAACCCAGTCGGAAGGAAGCTGCACATACACTCCTCCTGACTCTATGTGGACAGCTGCGCCCAGTGGGCACAGATCGCACAACTGCAGGGGGCGCCCTCACCTGGAATACACCTCCAGTGCCAGTTCAATGATCAGCACTATGGGCCCCACCAGTGGTCCTGACGTCTCTGTCACCCAGGCCATGGCTCCTCTCACCACTCAGTCATCCTGCTGAGCTCCATCCCTTGTTCCACACCTGTCTGCAGGGAACACCTGGCCCTCCTCAGCATCCCCAGTCCCAGCACAGAGGGGGGCCTGCCTCATCCAGGGAAGAGACCGGCCTGGGGACCCCCAGGAGAGGAGTACCCAGTGTCCCATCCAGGCAGGTGACTGGTGACTGAACTCTCACTCTGTCCCTCAGGCTTCCCCGGAGAGGACCAGCAGTCTGCCCTCATCTCTGAGGGGACCCTCGGGAGGCAGCGGGAGGTCGGGAGCTTCTGATGCAGGGAGGTGGCGACGGAAGGTTCAGGACCTGGTCTGAGGAATGGACAGGAGCAAAGAGAGGAGGGAGGGAGGTCGAGAAAGCTGTCCCCTCATCTCCAGGGTGATGGGAACAGTGAGGTCTGAGGGAAGAGGCTGCACAGGGTCCGTCTGGGGCCCTGCCAGCTCGCACGCCCAGGGTGTGTCTTGGAGACACTGGCCAAGGGGAGCGGACTTTGCCCAGCCCGGCCCTAGGTGCTGATTTGTCCCTGCCTGCCCTGCTGAGGTCACTTTCTATGTTCCTCTCCAACCTCGGTATGCCAGGACCACATGTGACTTTAGTTCGGAGGAGCTGAGTCCCTGGGACATGTGTCTGACAGATTCATCAGAAAGCATCCCTCACCAAAACAAAGACAAAAACAAACAACCCAATTTAAAAATGGCCAGAGGACTTGAATAGATACTTCTCCAAAGAGGACGTACAGATGACCATTAGACATGAAATGATACTGAATGTCACTAATAATCAGAGAGATGCAAATTCCAACCACAATGAGATATCACCTCACACCTGCCAGTTGGCTATTATCATTAAATCAACAAACAAGAGTTGGTGAAGATGTGGAGAAAAGGAAACCCTTGTGCACCACTGGGGGGGATGCAGCCACTGTGGAAAACCATATGGAGGTTCCACAAAAATTAAAAATGGAACTGCCATTTAACCCAGCAACTCTACTCTGGGAATATATCCAAAGTAACCCGAAATATTAATTGGAAAGAATATGCACCTCTATGTTCACTGCAGCGTTATTTACAGTAGCCAAGATTTGGAAGCATCCCAAGTACCCATCAGTAGATGAGCGGATTAAAAGCTGTGGTCCAGCCCTGGCCAGTTTGGCTCAGCGGTTAGAGCGTCGGCCTGCGGTCCTGAGAGACCCGGGTTCGGTTCCCGCTAAGGGCAGGTACCTCGGTTGCAGTTTGTCCCCGGCCCTGGTCGGTCGTGCGGGTGGCAGCCACTCGATGTGTTCTTCTCTCTCTTCCTCCCTCTCCCTCCCACTCTGTCTGAACAAAAAATGGAAAAATGTCCTCGGGTGAGAATTAAAAAAAAAAAAAAGAACATTCCAGTGTATTCTTTTCATTAAGGGAGTTCCCGTCTGTCAATTGCCTATCCACAATGTTGTGACCTGGTAGGAATTCCTCTCCTTTCCCCACTTAAATCTCAAATACAAAACTCCAGGCCCCACAGGCCCTCACTGGGATCCCACCGCCTCCCACCAGCAGCAGGATGAGCCGAGTCCCGGGCTCCACGGCCCTCAAGACAGAGGGGGGCGCCCTGCGTGCTGTCCCTGCGCCCTGCGGTCCCCGCATCCGCGGGCGCTGCTTGGTGGCTCGGCCTGCAGCTGGAAGAGTGCGGTGCTCTTTGGGGTTCGGTCGGGCCCATCGGGCCGGTCCACAGCAGGGGAAGCTCTGCAGATCGAGTCCCTTCAGCAAAGCACCGACGCCGCGCTCAGCTCCCACGCAGCTCTGCGCGCACCTGGACCCCGAGCGGACGCCCGACAGGACCGGCCAGTCCCTGCAGGCGGCGGTGACCAGACCTGAAGGCCCTCTCCCAGAGGCGGCCCGACCCCATCACCTGGCCCTTGACCCTGAGAGAGTTACTGAGCGTATGGTTTGGTCATTTGGCACCTTGGGAGCCCGGACCCTGTGCCAGAGAGGCCGTGCTGAGCCCTGCACAGGACGAGGAGGAGGCAGGGAGTCAGGAGTGGGAGGCGGACCAGAAACCCGCAGTGAGAGCTGGAGGCCCAGCCAGAGCACTGGCATCGGGGAGCAACCCCTGAGGACAGATGGGAGTCCAGTCCTTGTGCCCAGGCAGGGACTCTGAACAGAGGCCTCCCTCAGCCACAATGCCCGCGAGGAGGACACAGAGCCAGGGATCGCCAGCTCTGCCGTCCGCACCCTCACAGATGCTCCGTAAGCACCTTCAGTGGAGGAGGGATATCACACCACTGAAGCCTGTCACCCTGTGTGACGCCTGGGGACAGCGCATGCTCCCTGCAGACCAGCGCCTGGTGTCATCACCGGTGAAAGCCAGCGAGTGCCCACGGCTGTCCCAGGAATGAGCCTTTACCCCTTGTACAGTCCGGAGGGAGGACAGGATCCCCTCACAGTGAGGGGTCAGCTCTCCCTTCTCTCCCAGAAAACAGACACACACACACCCCCACACACCCCCCTTGTGCCTGCCGTCCTCTCTCCCTGGAGGACCTGGGCAGCAGCCTGTGTCCTTCCTCTCCTCACAGAGACCTGACCTGCCACAACTCTGGACTCTCGACTCCAGGCGCCTGATCTCTGTCTCCTGAGGTGCTCACCATTCGGGGCTCAGACCCCAGACGGCATCAGGACCAGGGTAGAAGAGGCTGATCCTGCAGCCGAAACAGAAGCGGTCCCCAGGCCATTAGCTGACTATCCTGGGGGACATAGGAGTCTCCAGAGGGAGGTCAGGTCCCCAGGGAGGAACAGAGGAGAGAGGATGCTCCTGGCAGCTCCTCCACCACCAGGGGTCAGCCCAGGGGACTCTCTCATGGAGGCAAACAGTGGTGGTTGCCATCTATTTGGGCGGCTCCTCTGCACTAAGCTTGAGGTCAAGTACTCAGGGATGTTTTCAGGGTAATTCACAGACAACATGGTGATCCAGAGTTCATTTACCATTTATTCGATTTTTATTCAGGGGAAACTGAGGCACGGTGTGATACAGTCATTGCATCAGAGTCGCGCAGACCAGGAGCAGCAGCTCAGACACAGCAAGGTCCTTGGGCAGCCGCAGCCCCACCCCCTCCTCCACCCGGGGTCCTATCTGGTGTCTGTGGACCCCGAGACCAGTCATCAGTTCAGGTCCTTTCTTCTCAGCTGTCCCCTGCTCAAAGTAAATGTTCTGGTCTGGGGAGTGACAGCAAAAGGAAAATTAATTAGTTTTTACTCTAGATCCAAATTGCCTACGGTCACAGTGAGAGCCCAGGCCTCCCCTCAGGTGGCCGAGCCCCAGCTCCCTGCCCAGGACCTGAAATCACTGGTTTGTTTCCTGAGGTGTTGGCGTCACTCCCACTGGGTATGAAGGGAAGGGCTTGGCCTGCTCACTGCCCACTCTACACCTGCAGCCGCTCAGGGACCAGCATGGAACATACACCCAGTTGCTTTTAATGAGGGAGGAAAGATTATGGTGAATGAATGAATGAATGATGCATAATCTCTTCATATGCCTATAATGTTTTTGTACCTGTCCTTGATTAATGGTGTAAGACAACAGCTGGAGGGTTTCCTCATCTCATAGCAGGTCAGATCTGAGAGAGAGCCGCTGGGAGCTTATTGGCCAGA